TTTTCTGGATGGTTTTGCGACAAAGGTAAAAGCACATAGTAGGTGTCCAATAAAAATCTGTTAAATGAATGAGGGGAATCTGGACTGGTTGAGCAGCATAAGGTGTTAGATTTAAGCTAGAAACAAGGAAGATTAGAGCTATCTGAATACTCCTTGAAGTACTGAGCTCCCTGTCTCTAAAAACATCCAGGCCCAGACTAAGCAGTTGCTTGGCAGGAATTATTTTTTAAAAGGGATTTGTCTCCTTGTGTTTTTTTCCATGTGTATATTTTAAAGGCGCTGTTTCCAACGTCCATTCTAATGCTAATTCTCTCTTTAACCACAAGATGGCAGTCAAGGTTTAATCTTTGGGGAATAAAACAGCTAGCATTCCTCCTTTAAAATGCATCAAGTATGTAATTATATAAACCTATAAAAACAATGTTTAACTTCAATAACCCTGAAAGGATAGCACAAACATACATTAAATTGATGTGTTCAGCATCAACGTTTTCTAGATAACTGGATAAAAGGTAATCAGATGTAGTTATGCTGAAATTATGCTCACATTTTTTGTGAGTTAAAACATATACTCACAAAATCAGAGACTACAGGAATTTAGAAATGATATATATTAACTCCTTAATTTAAAAGACAGTACAACTAAGTCTGGAGTATATTTTATAAATATAAGAAAGTTTTATGCTGGTATTTGATACTGCACATGTTAATTTTTTTAATGCAGAAAGAGAAAGGAACTAACATTGTTTAATAATAGAATTTGAGATTGACCCAAAAACCCACAAAACTTTTCCACAAAAAGTAGACTTGATTTGTGCTTGCAATTGGGTAGGCAATATTTTTACATTTACCTGAAAAATTTAAGCCTTTAATGAGCACATACTAATAGGCAGATAGGAAGTAATTTAGTTTTAGTTTTCAGGTATAATGTGTTTATCAATAACTTCGGACAAACTGGTTAACCTCTTTGTGCTTCATGTTTCTCTCATTGGTAAACTGCAAATAACAGCTACCTTCCCTTTTCCAGAATTTCTGTAGAGAAACTTAGGGGTGAGGATCCAGTTGAGAAAGGGAGGCTCGGAACCCCGTCCTGAAGCTGCGTCTGTATAACAAGGAAAGTGGTTTGACCTGGAGTGTATGCTGACTGTGCTTTGAAGGCGCTGACGGCTGGCTGCTGTCCTGGGCTCCACCAAGAGGTGTGGCTTCCACTCCCAGCGTGGCCACGATTAAGTCAGGAAAGGAAGGGAGAATGCCCAGCACACAGGAGGTGCTTCGCCATGCTAGCCCCTGTTCCCTCTGTCCCTCCCAGGTACAGACAAGAGCAGGACGCTTTTCCAAAGCTACATACAATGTACAACTTCTCCAGAATTGATAACTTTTATTAGACAACTTGCTGGCTGACAAAGCTTAGACTACTGGCATAGATCTTTCCACCACCACAGAGCAATCGTTATCTATGGAGTATGATGTAAAAATAGTTCTATATGTGCACAACTAAGAATATTCAAAAGAACAGTTTGCGCTGTTCTCTGATTTTGTATCTTTCACTATTCCTCCAGAGAAAATAAATACGAACCACTGATTAGATTCTAGCTTCATATTCTTTCCCACGTCTTGGTGGAAATAAAGCATTTGCATGAATAGCCAAAAGACAGGCAAGGCAATAGGAAAGAAAGAAAGGCCTTAGAAATGAACACCAAACCAAATGACCAATTCATGAATATTTATAAGCTGCTTATAATAAGAATGGGTTCCTATTAATACTAACCAAAAACATGTGTAACACTTAAGAATTTGCATAAAATATTCATGACAGTTATTTATATTTCCAATTTTCAATCACTGTTCTGTGACTATACCCTTAGATTTCCCAAAATAGAACCATAATCTCTACATTAGAATGGGCCTTAATAGAAATCAGTACCTACGTTTTCTTTTTCCTAAAATTAACTCCCTTCACATTTAATCCTACTATTAAGTGCATCATTCAACAAACACTAATTGAGTGCCTACTCGATGCCAGGTGGCCGGGCCAAGTGCAGAGAATACAAAGCTACAACAATGCCCTGCCCTGGTCACTCTGCATGGACAGAAGCTCCACCACAGGGGCTGAGTGAGCTGGGAACAGAGTGCTCTGGAAGGGCACGATGGGGGACGCAGAGGCCCAAGCTGTCAGGGACCTTCCAGCAAGAGACGCTGAGCTGGATCTTCATGCCGTCCTGTCCTCGAGAAGCACCTTGCAGCAGAGGAGATGACAGAGGTGGTGTGGAGACGGGAGAAGGACAGTGCGCTTAAGGGGACTTAAATAAATGTAGTCCTGATGGGTGTTGTTTTCTGTTTTCCAACCTGAGACAATTTTCCAATTTTTACATGTTTCTGATAGAGAATGTTTTTATTCTCTGAAAAGCTGGAGGACATGGGCTTTCACCTCCCCCTCTCCTCAGGAACAAATATTTATTGAATGTCCCTACGTCAACACTGTATTATTTTATATATCTGATCTCATTCAAGAGACCACGTGCAAGACAACATCGCAAGGTAAATATCATCTCCATTCAGCAGAAAGGAACAAGCCCAGAGTGGGTAAGAACTCCTCCAGGATCCGTGTGACTCTAAAGCCCATGCTCACTCCCCATGCTGTCTTTCTTCCAAAGAAAGATCTTCCATCTGAAAAGTGAACTAGGGCCTCAGTAGGAAAGCTTGAAGAATAGCACACCTTAGGAGTACTTACTGTGTACCAGACACTGTTTGAAGTGCTCTACATGTATTAATTATTTAATCCTCACAATCTCCCTGAGAGGTAGGTACAGTTGTTACCGAGGCACAGAGAAGTCAGACAGCTCGCCCAAGGTCACAGAGCTGGTGACTGGCAGAGTCAGGATTCCCTCCAGGCAGTCTGGCTCCAGTGCCCCTGTGCTTGAACACTCCACATTCCACCTTTTACCCCAGACCGAATCCTAACTCTGGACCACCAGCAAAGACCCTGTGGGAATCTCCCAGGCAGAAGGCGCAAAGTGGTGACTAGATCTTATGTCCCCAAATAACAGTGAGAAAAAAGAACTTGGTGTGGCTTAAGAATCGGGTCTTGATTGATGAGGGTACGGGAGGACAGTGAGAGGAGGGGTGTGAAGCCGGGGAGATAGGTCTCTCTTTCTCCTCAACACTATGCAGATACAAGCTTCTCAATCTGCATTTTCTGTTTGTTTATTTTTAAATAGGAAATTTCAGCGCAAGGAAACCATTTTCAAATATTAAAAACAGAGAGCTGCATAACGGTATTATATCGCATGCACATCCAGACCAATGACTCATTTGCCTAGATCCTCAAACATTTCTACTTGAGTCTCTATGAATTGACCATTTCATTATACCTCACGTATTTGGATGAACTTAATAATTATGTGAAACGAAGCTGACGCCACCATACTTGAGATTTTTGCATACCCAAATATTTATGCTACCATAAAGTTATGCAGATAAATGTAATATCTTTTAAAAATTTTATTTAAATAGTGTTTTTTTGACTAATCAACTCCAAGACTTAAAAGAAGCCAATATCATCTGATCTAAATTTGTTCTCATCAACCACCAGATGGCATAAGGTGTGAGAGTTTTATTCTGACAGGGTCAACCATGCACATGATAATTTGCCCTATAACTTCAAAATAATGTATTTGGAAAAATGTTCCAGCACTCAAACAGCTCACAATTATTTCAGCCATGTGTGGAAGTGGATGGATAAGTTGAAAGTGACATGGTCCTACTTTTTCTAAATTTGGGGGTTCTGTGGGATGCTGGCATTACATAATGAATCAATGATCAGACAAATAAAACAAAGCAGTTCTGTTAAAGGAAATAAAAAAGGAAGTCACGTCAAAGCAAAATCAACCTTCTATTCTGAGTAGGTTTCTTTAACTCTGAATGAAACTTGAAACGAGCCGTCGAGAAAAAACCATGCTTGTACACCTTCAAATTCTGCTTAATAAAAACTTTTCTACTGCCTATAATGCATTTTGAAAGCAGAAGAGTATCTAACGCAAAAGGTTTTCCCCACTTTGGCTTGAAGGAAAGTTGCTGCAGAAGTCAACTGAGAAAAGAATATCCAACCAAAAAATCCAATCTGAACTATGATGTCAGAGGGTAGGAGAGTATATTTAAGAACCTTGACTTCTACACAAATTCAAAATATAGCACATTATTTTTATTAATCCCGTATTTCCATCCAGAAAAGAGGTCACATTGCTAACAAGTCAAAGAGCTAAAAAATAAGTTAAATGAGGTAAATGTAAAAAATAGGATCTTGAATTCCCCTAGCTTTGTGGGAGCACATTCACTGAGCACTCTGAAATAAGCACATCAGAATAAACGACTGGGACAACCTGGCCTATACCGAGGAACTGAGAAGGAATCGTTGCTCTAGCTCTTCCTTCTAGTGAGGAAGCAGAAAAACCGCTGTTAGGGGTCGGGAGACCAAAGATGAGATTAAGGTCTCTGCCTTAACGTGGTCTGAGGGTCAATGACTTCTGAAGATAGTGTAATAATTTATTTTTGTATTTTACTACATACTTCCTCATTAGATGTAATATATTTGGTTCCTGAAGGAGAAATCTGTGGAAGAGGAAAAGATATCTGAAACTATGAGAAGGATGAAAAGCTAATTGGTGCTATATAAACAGCTTTTCCCCTATTTCTAGGCATATGTTGATAAGGATAATGGGAATGGGAGTAAGAGAATTCCTGGGGAGAGAACTGGGAGATTCCTTCACTGGGGCTCATGTCCTCTCTCCATTCTTGGCAGCCGACAGGTAGCAAAGATGTTTCCCATCTAGGTTCACATTAAAGGAAAAAATAATACTTCTTATTCTTGTTCTTATGTTTCGAAAAGGGCATAAGTTGTTATTTCCAAAGAGTTTCTTCTGATCAGCTAGACAGTAGAAAGTGGAATGATAGCTATTCCAAGTTAGTAGGGTAATATATTCCAGACACTTAAAATTACTCACTTTAAATTCCATTCTTTAGGATGTTTTAGCTCCATTTTCTTCCATTTATTATACTCTCCAACGAAATCTGGATCTTTAAGCACTGAAATTAGAGTATTGAAAAAAAAGAACTATGCATACATTCTTTAATAACAGTTCAAAGTCTAAAGTAATTGACTTCTCATTAAGTTGATATATGGCGATGGCATATGCTATTCAGTTCAAGTCATATTACAATGCTCGGACACTTTCCAAATTTCTTCCTTTTATTTGAACTTTGTAATGTTGGATATCGTTTAAAATAAGTAGACTGTGACTTTGAAACTTTTCATTATAATGACTTTTGTTTGTATATCATTTGTAGTAATGAAGAAGGTGTTAAAATATCTCACATAGAAACTACAGACACCATAGTTTAACAAAATTCTGATTCAGCCCTTCAAGTGGCAAAATAAAATCTTGGAGCTGGATGTGACATTGCAGATCTTGATCTTTCACAAAGGAAGAATCTGCAACAGATGACTATCCAGCCTCTAAATGAATCTCTTGCCAATGACAGAAAATTCTCCTCTTTGTTGTTGGGAGACTGCCTGCTCCATTGACAGACAGTAAAGTCACAATGTCCTTCGTTAATCTGAGTGCTGAGTTCTCACCATCGTAGTTCTGACCTCTGGAGCAATACTGAGTAAATCCATCCCTCCCTGTGGGAGACAGCCCTTCTAATATTTGAAGATAGCTCTCAGGGTAGCCTCAGTTCCTTCAACTGTTTCTTAAGACATGATTTTCTAGAGACCTAACCATCCTCACCATCCTGGCAGTGAACTTTGTCGATGTTCCTATTAAAGTTTGCATTCAGAACTGGCTAAGGATCTCGATTTCATTTGAATAGCAAAGATGCAAGTCGGTTACTACCTCCCTTGATCTGTGTTCTACTCTTCTGTTAATTCAGCTCAGATCTGCATAGCATTTTCTGGAAATCACATTGCACTTCTGGCTCATATGTTTGTGGTTAATTATAAGCCTTACACCTTCACACAAATTCACATAAAATTTACTGAAAATCTACTATGATTAAGGCACTGGTCATTTTTACATGAGATACTATTAAGCCAGATCATGCACACATATATACCTTATCTATCTATCTATGTATCTATCTATCATCTATCTATCTATCTATCCACCTGCCATCTCCCTGTTCCTTATAATTGTCCTGGGTTTACAGTCTCGAACTATTTAACCAACTAGATGTTCTCCACTGTCTTGCCCTTATCTGGAGCTTCCTTCTTAACAATGATTAATTAACTCCTTTTCTCATTGGTACAAAAAAACATTTAAACTGAATAGTTCTCATTTTCTTCTATTTATATTACATGATTTTCACCAGCAATATTGCTAACTATTCTTTAACTTCTTTTCTTGCTTCAAACACACACAAGCACACATACATACATATTCTTATAGGGTTTATTAATACTCTTTTTATTGGTATTTAGATATACACTCCTCCCTTCCATTAGGAAGCAAAGCTGAGCTTCCCAGAGATCTTAGTGAGGGCTCATTATTTCCTTTGGATGATTATAATAACTAATATTAGGAGAGTTATTACATATGCTGGAGGTATGCAATGCTTACCATTAATACCCACTTTACAGATGAACAAACAGACAGAAAGGTGGAGTAATGTCTTCTCATTGGAACTATTCATCACTACTTAGACAAAATTTAAAATTTATTTGAAGTTTCTATTCAAGGATTATTCATATCTTTCCTTAACTTTTTAAAAATTGCCTTTCGTACATTTTCTATCTGAATATGTACAGCAGTCTCTTCCTTATAATATATTATAAAACCCCAAATGGCATGATTATCTTTCCTGAATATTCCATTAATTTTATATCATTGACTCATTTTCTTCATTGCTTTCTCTACTCTCTGAGAGACGAAAAATGCCACAGTATTTGTACAAGATTTTATTTTAATGCTTCCTATTTTATCCCTATAATTTTTTCACTCCTCTGTCTACTACCACCTGACTATAAACTCCTCAAAAATCTTATCATAATACTTATCTTCTTGTCTCCAACACACAGCCCATTGTCTAGACATGGAAGTTGCTCAATGAGTGATGTTGAGTGGAGGGAAATAATGAAGGAATGAGGACAGGAGAGAGAGAGAGAGAGGAGGAGCAGGAAAGGACCAGTGAAATTTTGTCAGAAGCTCTTGAAGTTGCAATGCCCCCACCACAACCGTATCTTGCCATAGGGCAGTTTTGTAATCTGTGGTAGAAAAGCACCGTCTACTGCTTCCGTAATACAGTTCTTCCTTCCTTTTCTTCTGAGGATTACTGGCATCGCTTCTACTCTGTTTTTCCATGACACACCTCTTGTCCAATATCTTATAGGTTGATCTGAAATTTTTTTTTCCACTGCTGGGACTGTCACCTCCAAAGACATATAATACCACCAACTTGCCTTGGCATGTTTCATTTTCACACATACGATCTCATGCTAACCATAGAGCAAGTTAAAATAGAGTGGAATATTTTTGTCAATAAACAGAAATGAAAAATGAGGTAGAGCTAAAAGACTAACCTAAACTCACTTAACTGTAGGTGGCAAAACTCGGCCGGGGCTCAGGAGTCTCTGACTGCTGACACCGTGCTCCGCCCACTAGAGCCCTTCCAACCTTGCTTGCACACTGTAACCACCTGGGGAGCTTTAAAAACTACTGCTGCCTGGTCCTGTCCCCAGAGATCCTGATGGGGTTGGTCTGGGGGTGCACCCTTTACATGGAGTTTTTACAAGCTCCGCTGGTGGTTCTGATGAGTGGTCAAGCCTGAGAACCACTGCCTCAGAACCAGACAATACTGCCTCTTGCATCTAGATGCATTTTGGAGACACTTGCCCGTGTTGCTGGCTCAAAGACTCAAAGAATGAAAGTCTCCTGGGGTGAAAGCAAGCATCCCCATGATGCTTCAGGCTGTTGACTGTCTTGATGACAGCAGGCAGACATCAGGAAGCCTCCGCTCAGTCTTCTGGGGCACACAGGTCTGAAGGAATTCTTTTCCTCAAACATAAGCATTTCCTTATGGAGATCATATTCTGCCATTAAGGTGCTGTTGCCTACAACCATCCGCGTTAGTTTGTTTTCTACCAAACTTTTTATTTGCCATTCTACAGTGACGAGCAGAGAACAGCAGGTCATCAGTACATTGGCCCGTATGATTGCCTATGATTAAGAACTAAAAATTATAATTATTGAAAAATGTACTACATAGACTTCAGAGTTTGAATTTTCAGGTTATACAGAGATAACAACTTTATATCATATTATGGAGGCAGTATAGTATGGGAGAAAGAGCAACAGAGGTGGAATCAGAAGATCTGGTTCAAGTCCTGGGGCCACAGCCTACATGCACTAAGTAATAATAGCCACACTTCTTGAGCACTCAGTATGTGCCAGGCACCGTTGCAGTGCTTCAACCCTATGAGGTTTGTGCTGTAATTATTCTCATTGTATGGATGAGGGAACTGGGACACAGAGTGGTTAAGAAACTTACCCAAGGTCACACAGCTAGTAAATGGCAGAGCTAGGATTAAACCTCAGCAATCTGGCTCCAGAACTTACACTCTTTACCAACACATAATATTCCCTCTGACATGTGTGACCTTTGGTAAATCACTTTCCTTCTCTTGGTCTTGGATTTTCATCTGTAAAGCAGAGTAATAATAATAATGCCTCGCTCATAGGGTTGATATACCACTATGCATCACAGATATCAGGTATTCAATAAATATTGGTTGACAAATGAATAAAAGAATGATAAGATTGGGATGATTAAAAAACATAATACAGAGTATACTCTGTAAACTGTATTATACAAGAATAAACTTACTATTATTATGGCATACATGACTATATAAAGATTTGTGACACAAAGATATGGAAAAAAGTTAATACTCAAAATCAAAATATAACCACTCATCACTATTCAGAAAATAAAAAGCTTTAAAACTATGCACAAGGGTTTAATAATCTTTCCAGTGATGGGAATGTAACTGTAGAAAATGAGTTATTAGAAGTTTCCCTTTTATTTCTGAGTAGCTGAAGAAGCATTCTATGATCTAAAAGCTTCATCTTTGTTATTGCCAGGAAATTAGGCTGTTAAAAAAGATAGTATTGGATCTCATCCAGCTGAACTGTCCAAAGACAAAACGGTCAGCAGCACAAATAAGGTTTGCATTTAATTTTTTAAAATTAAGTGCTGGTTATTATTGGAGGAAAGCTCTTGAAACATTCTTATAACAAATCCCTGGGAGAAGAAACGGCAGAGTGATCGTGATATCTTGCACCACGGGCTACAATCAGTCTCAGAAACTCCTCTGGGCTGGAGGTAACCATCACCAGCTATCTCCTTTACAAAGAGACATGAATTACACACCAGGTCAGTGGCTGACGGAGAAACAAGAACCACATTAAACATTTTGGTGTCAAACTCCTTTGAAACAGGAACTTCAGTCAATGGAGCTTCATTATTTCCTTCTGTTTTTTAATTGATTTTATTGCAAGACAATCATTTCCAAATTTCCTTAAGTTTCAGCATGTGCTTCTATTGTTTTTTTCTAGCAGTTTGGAGTTTCCAAGTGCCTCTAGATATTCACATGTCATTCCATGAAGCGCCATCCTACACCAATCGGCTTATTTTTGGTTGAAGGAGTTGGACGCTGAGTTGGTCCCCAGAGGATGCCAATTGCCTCTCAGTGTTAAGGGTTACAGCCTCCTGGATCCCATCTGACCTCTCAGTGCCTCCCATATAGTAGGTACTCAAGATGTGTTTGCTAAATTGACTAAGCAGCACCCAACCACAAATCCTTGAAATGAAGTAAACATTCATATACTCTGGTATCAAAAACAATAAAATTCTTTATACCAACAGAATTGCTAAAGACTGTTTAAAGCAGTCTTTAAAGGTTTCTTAAAGCACCTCAAATTATTTTTCTTAACCAGTAATCTATGAGTGATTGAGGAAGTAATGTGCAATTGCAAAATAATTAATAACCAACATCCTGAAAGAACATGTAATTTCTTAGTTCTTCATCTAACTTACGTTTTTGTATTTGTTAAACTTAGTACTACTTTTTGCTCTGATTTGTGCCTTAAAACTAGAAACCTTTTTTTGTGATATTTTGTTCTATTGAAACAATGATGAGACTATCATGATGATGAGATGAAATTTGATGAGAGCACAAATGAAGGCCGTGGTCACAGGAGTGGAGTGGAGGGGAGACATTCTTAATGTTGTAAGAGATGAAATCACCAAGATTTAATGAGGGAAACAAAGAGGTTTAGGAAACTTGTATGATTCTGGTTTAGGCAAGTAAATCCAAAAATGGCGACTTACAAAGGAGGGAGGGTAGGTGTGGGGGCAAGATAATGAATTCACTTTGGCGAGAATTCATCTTAAGTACGAGATGCCTGTAACACACGTGGGTGAGAAGTCCGACACCCAGTGCTAAATACGCCTGCAGGATCCAGAAGAGGACCTGCTGGAGTTGAGGCTGTCTGAATGACAGGCCGGTAGGCTAATGAAAACCACGGTGGTGTCAGAGATAGTGGGTAGAGAGGACGGAAAGAACAAGAAAGAGGCAGAGGAACCCTTAGGAGGAAAACTGTGGATGCAGGTGCCATTTAGCTCAGGAGAGCATGGCCAATGAGACAGCAAGGAAGATAGAGACCAAGAAATAACCAGTGTATCTGGGAATCAGGAAGTCACTGGTAACTTCAGAGTCACTGGTAACCAGTGCAGCAGGAGAGCTGACGAAGTCATATTTCAGTAAATGTGTGTAGACTGGATAACCTGCTTTGATCCAAATAACAAGACAGTACTCTAAAGATTTGATTAAATGGGACCAGAAAGTTTTCCAGCTCTCCTTCCGTCTTTCTAGCTCCTAGTGTACGATGGCAATGGATGAGTCTGCCTCAGACTGATCGAATTGAAAGCCCTAGGTTCATATGTTTTCTTGCTCTTTTTCTACTTAATATTTTCTCTGGTTTGAGGATAATGGTGTTTAGAATCAAAAAGATTCCTCCTGCTACGAAGGCTTCTTTCCGGGGTGAAGGGAGTAAAGTCAACCTCCTAAGACTGAAGACTTCATTTTTCATTCCTCCAATTGCCTATATTTCCTTCTGGCTTTTAGTCAGACTTCAGTCCAGGGCTCCACACAAAAGAGGAACTGAATTCATAGCTGTGGAATGATCACTATATACAACAAACAGAGAAGTTTATCACCCTCAAATTGCAAATATACGTCAATTGGTCTTTGAAAGCAAGCCAAGCTGACAATAATTAAGAGATTAATATATACCAAAAGGACACAGAATCAGGCAGATCACCTTACATGGAGTTCTGTAATGGTCTGTGGCTTTTGATGTGGCTATTCCAGACCATGTTTTGTAGTAATCGTTAAATGAGACTGCTTTAATTGATCTGAAAATATAAATTAAAATCAGACAATGAGTAGTTTGCAAGTTTGTTTTTTCAAATTACTTTATCAGAGTGGACTATTTCAGATAACAATATCTTACCACAAGACATTAAACTAATTTGCAATTTCTAACAAATGAATGTAGCATATTAATTTCTCCACTAATATATACAAATCACAAAAAAGAAAATCTGTCTAAATTACTTTTCAATAATAAATGTAAATGTGCACCCATGTGTATATTATAAACAGAAAAATACAGGTTTAAGATATCTGCCTTTCATGACTAAAATTAAAAAAGAACTTTAAGGAAAGTTGTCATACTTGTATTTTTCTCTTTCTACAATAAACAATTTTCTTAAATTTCTATGCCAAATTTTAGTACAATCATCTTTATTTCCTTTTTATTATGAGGAGATATAGAACACGAGAATTGAGATTAGTTTAATTTTTACACAGGATCTGCCCATTGTCAAAGAGGGAAAAACACAACTCTTCTAATATTCCTGCCCACACTTTTCCTTCCCTGTGCTAATGTCACTACGTCCTCATGGGAGAGTAAAGATGGTTACAAAGTATTAAACGAGAACCCTGAAACAGTCTCTTCAATAACTGCATTTCCATTTTCCTTCCCACAAACTTTTCGAAAGCAGAGATTCTCAATATCCTACAAACAAAACGTTACTTTGGGATATTTTCAGACGTGAAATCACCAATTAACTGGCTTAAATAGATGCTTGTACATCAAATGTAAAAGGTCTTACGTCTGTTTTCCATTTTAAGTTCCCAGCTCTTTGGAGGAAGAAGCAACTTTTACGTTAGAACAAGTATACCAGCATTAACGTTTATCCGTAAATTGTAGGTCCCTTAAAGTAAATATTTGACTCAATTTTGAAATTAATGGGGCGATATCTAAATGTGTTAATGCATTCATTTATTTAAACGATAATTACAGACACCTAATTTTAAGACTAACATTTTTCAAACGTGTTATTGCTTTTGCAATCATACTTAAGTGGAAATGTTAAACTTGGTGCAGATAAATTAATCACTGCTATTACTGCCTCCAGAGTTACACGCAGTGCTTTAGACTACTAAATGACATACTAAACTAACATTAATTTGCCAACGAAATGTTTCGGCATTTGGCAACGGAGGTAACAAAGTGAAAGGCTGCATTATATGTCCTGCATGAAAAAGCTTGTGATCAATTTGCTGTCACAGATCATTTAGCAGACAACAATGACCCAGGAGGAAGGAAACTGTCAACACACTGTCTCATGAAAAAAACATACACCATCTTCAGGCACAATCGTCTCCATTGTTTTTTTTTCTGTTTAACGACGACCCATGACCCTCTCCCCTCCCGATGGTGTCCTGTTCAATTTCAAACTGTTAGCCTTCAGGGGCTGTCTTTGCTTCCCCCAGAATAATTAAAAATATTACCCTAAAAGGTATAACTTTAGTATAGTTTGAATATACACAGCACAATATCTTTTTTTGTGTGAGGAAGATCAGCCCTGAGCTAACATCCATGCCAATCCTCCTCTTTTTGCTGAGGAAAACCGGCCCTGAGCTAACATCTATTGCCAATCCTCCTCCTTTTTTTCCCCTTTTTCTCCCCAAAGCTCCAGTAGATAGTTGTATGTCATAGGTGCACATTCTTCTAGTTGCTGTACGTGGGACGCTGTCTCAGCATGGCCAGACAAGCGATGGGTCAGTGTGAGCCCGGGATCCGAACCGGGGCCGCCAGTAGTGGAGCATGCCCACTCAACCGTCAAGCCACGGGGCCGGCCCCAGAATGTCTTAAACATTTGGGAATATTTGCATTTTCAATTCTATAAAGAAAACAGCCCCTTAAAATAAGAGAACAGTAACTATTGTATTATTATTCAGAAAAACTACTAAGTTTACAGGGATACATACAGTATAAAAATACATGTGTTTATAGTTTCAACCAATGACAGGAATTTATTGAGTATTATCATTGGCATTATGAATATGAAAAAGTAGAAGAAGTAATTTTAAACTGAACATCGGAGCTTTTTATCCTATTGGGAAAATGATATATACCTGAACTAGTAAATAGAATAGTGTTACATATTAACATAATAAAGTGCTACATCATTTAACACAGACCTTTGGAGACTACGGTGACAGACACTTCTTTGGCAGTGGCAGTAAGCAAAAGAGGTTGGAGGAGGGAGCTGTAACTTTGTTTCAGAGCCATTAGGGAAAGAGTCACTTGGGATATGGCCTTGGAAGAAAGGAAAGAGGCATTGTAGGCCAGGGGAACAGTACTAGCAATCGCTCAGATGGGAAGGAGCGTGTGTATGCATGTGTACACACAGACGATGTTGGGGGAAGAGCTGATAATAACAAGATAATTGACTAGAGTGCAGAGTTCCAATTTCAGAGGAATTGAAACGATAAAAATAAGTGAAACGAGGCAATGCAGGGTCTTCAGATTTAGGCAGAGAATGGGTTAGAGTCGATTTGGTAATCTTGATTTATTAGGTGATAGAGAGTAATGAGAAGGTCTGGAATAAGGCAAGTAAATTATGAAATCAGCGTTTGAGTAGGAGTTTGCTCTGGCATTAGGAAGCAAAGTGGGTCATATGAGAGACTAAATGCAGGAGGACCAGTTGGGAAGTAAATGCAGTAATTCAGGCAAGAGATGCTGAGAGCTAATACTCAGGCGAGAGCAAAGATTATGAAGGGGAGGAGAGGAACCTATGACAACGCTAGAGAATTGACCAGCCCAGTTGCCTGAGAGAGTGTGAGAAGTGAAGGAATTTGAGGGTCAAATATTCTCCTAAAGCCCAGAAGACCAGTTAGTTTTGCTGTTAGTAGAAAGCATCTAGAGAAACTGAAGTGAAATATGAGTTTAATTTTAAACATGGGTTGTAGGTGATGACCTCTAGGAGTGTGATTGAGAAACCGGGGCTGGAAATAAGAGATTTGGGTCAAATCAACATAACGGGTGATAGATGACACCATTAGGGAAACCAGAGTCCAAAAGAGTAAGTGTTTAGAAAAGAAAGAGCAGAAACTAATTCATAGTCAAGAGGAGCCGGTGAAGGAAACAGAAAGGACTGCGAAGGGAAGGCGAGAACGGTGGTAGAAGCAAAGCTTAACGACTAAATCTCGACACATCTCTGGACATTTAGTCATGTTGTATCCTGACTAAGAGCACAGGCTCTGGCATCAGCCGGCCTGGGTCAAAACATACTGGCACCACTACTTATTAGCCGTGTGACCCTGGGCACGTTACCTAACCTCTCCACTCTTGTTTCCAGAGACAGAACTTTGTCCAGCCATGGTTGTGAGCCTTCGATGAAATCATGCACGAAAAGAGCCAGGTAGGAGGTTTATCGCCCCCCAGCACTCGGCATCAGCCTGCCTCCTCAATTGCCTCAAATAATATCATCATTTCTCTCCTGCGAACTCTGAACAGCTTCCTAATTGTTTTTCTCTCTCTGTCCTTCCCTATTCCAGGTTATCATGGCTCTGCTTGAAAGCCACATTCGGTTACCCAATTCTACAGGTTGAAGTCTAAGCACTATTAAATAGAACTCGAGGTTCTTCACCATCTGGCCACGCCAACCTCTTCTTCCATTGTCCGTCGGCACATCCAGGGGCTCCATGGCACGGATCTTCCTGACGACCCTGAGTGTACCAGAGTTACACTCCTGCGCCTGTGCAAAGCAGTTCTATCTAGAGACTCTCATGCCCTCTCTGCCTGCCACACTCTTACTTATCACAGTTCCCGCCCAATAAAAATATTATGTACATGCAGGTTGTGACAGGGGACACTGGATGCCTCCATTCTTCTCCTGCACAAGGCACTGGGTCTGATGGAACTGACCCCATCCCTGGCTCTAAGTCAGGGCCTGATGGACTTAGGGCTGTCTAGTCAAGGTAACTAGTTTAGGGACTAGAACCTGACCCAAAAAGATCCCATCAGAGTGAAATTTAGTCTAGCTTTCTAGTACATCTTGATATCTGGGAGTGTCAATCCTCTTTGTTCTTCTTCAAGACTGCCTTGTTATTCTAAATTCTTTGTATTTCTGGATACATTTTAGAACCACTGTGTTAATTTCCAGAAAAACACCCTGCTGAGATTTTGAATGAGATTGAATTGAATCTATAGATTAATTTAGGAAGAACTGACATTGTAATAACATTGAGTCTTTTCCAAGTTACAAACATTGTACATCTCTTTTTCTTTAGGTCTTTTAAAATTTCTCCCAGATATACTTTGTGGCTTTCAGTATAGATGTCTTATTCATCTTTTGTTACATTTTGATGCTGTTGTAATGATATTTCTAAAATTTCACTTCCTATGTGTTGATTGCTAGTATATAAAAATATAGTTGATTTTTTAATGTTCATCTTGTATCCAGGGTCCTTGCTTAATTCACTTATTAATTTTCAAGCTTTGTTTATTCATTTGGATTTTACTATGTATATAACCCTGTTATCTGTGAATAAAGATGGTTTACTTCACCCTTTTCAAACTTCATAACTTTTATTTCTTTTCCTTGCTTGTTGTGCTGGCTGGGTCCTCCAGTACGATGTTGAATAGAAGTGGTGATAAAGGACATACTTGTCTTGTTCCTAAACTCAGAAGAAAAGCACCAGCATTTCACATTTAAGTATAAGGTTGGCTGTTGAAGTTTTGTAAATTCCCTTTTTAGAATAAGGAAATTCTCTTCATTCCTAGTTTGCTGAGAATTTTTATCATGAATGGGTGTTAAATTTTAGCAAATATTTTTTCTACATTCATTGAGATAATTTTATGTTTTTTTTCCTTTATTTGGTTAACTTGGTAAGTTACACTGATTGCTCTTCAGATTTGAAACCAACCTGGCTTTCCTGAACTAAAGCCCACCTAGTCATGATGTATTATCCCTTTTATGGATCAGTGGATTCAGTTTGCTAATATTTTGATTAGGACTTGTGTGTCTATGTTTATGACAGGTATGTATTGGCCTATAAT